CCTGATCGGTCATCTAAACGATCAAACTGGAACTGGTACGGACTCGGGGAATCCGACTGTCTAATTAAAACAGAGGAGACAGATGGTCCTTGTGGACGTTTACTGTCTCTGATTTCTGCCCAGTGCTCTGAACGTTAAATCGTAGTAATTCGAGTAAGCGCGGGTGAACGGCGGGAGTAACTATGACTCTCTTAAGGTAGTCAAATTCCTCTTAATTATAAATAAGTGACGCCCATTATGTGCTTTTCAACAATTGCTTATTCCAACACGTAAACGTGCGATTGGATATCGCTGCACGTGATGTACTTGTTAAGTCAAAAAGCAAATATATACAAATAAGAAACAGCAAAACTCCGGATAAATTGGTGCATAATAGGCCTGATATGGTGTTATTTCTTCATGAAATATATTATTGAGATAGCTGTCTCTTGGTTTAGTAGAATGAGTGTGCAAAATCAAAGGAAGTTTCATAAATACGCGGTGAATTCGTGTTTAGAAGATCTTCATAGTCTTTCGTACCCTCCTGGCATATCGCTAGCTGGGGAATTACAGAGAGTACATGGGTACACCGTGTATGTTATTCTTATTGTTATTGGTTGTGGTGGCGAAGTGACCGAGGACTGCTTGCAGCACTTGAGATCACTACCTCTGATTAGTGAGGATGAAGTCCTAGCTTTGCTAGAGAGGATTCAGAGGAGCTCGGTGCTGGGGACCGATAGATTGATCAGAGCACATTTGGCGGCATATCCTGGTTAAAGATAGCATTTGGCGAATTCCGTTTATTTTCTAAGATTTGGTTAATCGTAAATCTAACATTTGGTACTCATGAGTTTTCAAAACTATATAATTTGGCTTAGCCTTAATATATGATATGTCCTTTGGTCGTAATTGCTGGATTAATGACAATCTCTCGTTATTAAGAGTATCGAGAGGACCATAAAGTAAAATCATGTATGGGATGCACGTTTGGTAGGTTTACCTGCCATCCTATAAGAGGCGTTAGCAACGTCTTCATAAGTCGTACGTAAAGTAGAGTGTTCTAGTGAAAGCCTTTACCTCCGGGATTGTTACATATCAAGGTTCACTTAAGTGAGACTTGCCCAGGTTCCATTCGGGTAAAGCGAAAATTGGCTGATCTAGAGAATTTTGGAGAATTCGTTCCAAATTCCTCCCAAATAATAAGTGACGCGCATTATGTGCTTTTCAACAAATGCTCATTCCAACACGTAAACGTGCTGAATACCAACCTGGCTGCGATATTTGGAATAACCATAAGTTGCAGTATCCTGACGTGGAGCAATTTTGTCATTAAGGCCGACCAGCCCATGCCATCACTCCCGTGACATGTCGGGAACACCCCGTTTTTCGGTGGGGCCAGCTCTATAAATTCCCCGAACCTCGACACTCTTCAAGATATTTGCCAACTAGTGCACCTAAGTACACCTATTCTTCTTTATCGGAAGCTATCAAAGCCCAGGTTCCTATCGGTTGATAGTGTTGGGAAGATCTTAACTCGAGAATAAAATCAAACTAAACACAGCTACACAAGCATCAGATATTTACAGACCTGTCAATTATTTTGGGAGGCGTGTGATCGTTATGAACGTAAGAGAACCGTACGTAAAATTTGTAAAATTTCACGTCAATTATATTTAGTCAGTACCAGGATTACCCGACCAAGTAAGACCCGGAACCTTAACAGGGGATACCGCGTGAAGGTATATAATCTCATCCCCCGTTGATCGGGCTGATTACGGCACCTACTGTTGAATGGGGTCGGTTTGTCCGAAGGTGTCCAGCACGTTGATCGGGCTGATTACGGCAACTACTGTTGATGGTACTCAAATGACGATATCGTACGGCAATGAACTATGCGTGCGTTTTCAACAACCTCACCACAAATAAGAGCTGGCAGTGGTGGGGCCCGCAAGTAGCACACGCGGGATGCGCGCGGGTGGGATTTTACTCCCACTCGTAAAAGAGGCACTCGAAACGCAGTCGTTAGCAACGTCTTCATAAAGTCTGATCAGTAGAGTGTTCCAAGGAAGAAAGTACCTCCGGGGTTGCTACATATCAAGGTTCATCACTAAGGTTGAGAGACTTGCCCAGGTTCCATTCGGGTAACGCTAAACCTGACTATCTCTGGAGAATTTGGAATTAAATTTCCTCTCAATTAAAAAGTGACGCGCATTATAGGTAATTCTTGAAGCATCATAGGTAATTTTTGATCATGTTCTCCAAAGATACTATTACGGTTGCCTGCGGCACAAACCGAATCCTGGATTTTCTGTGTATCCATGGTAGATCTACTATCATCGACATAGAAGGCCTAAGGAAACTGCTGAAAGAACTTGAAGATAAGAAGAAGGAAAAGGCACTGAAACTTAAATCTGAACTTGAACAAGTAAAAGCTGAATTGGAGAAGACAAAACGTGCCTTGGAAAAGGCAAAGAAGCGTAAACATGAAACCATTGAAGTAGAAACTGTTATAGATAAATAAAAATATTTTTTGTTCAAGAACTTACAACCTCTACATAAGATTTCTTGTGAAATTCCATGTATGGTGTGCGAAAATAGCCACCGATACAAGGTTAAAGAAGATTGAGTTCTGATCACACATAGGGAGACTGAGAGTTTTCCGTATATAATAACGATTCCCCGAGAGGGAACGGACGAAATAAACGCTGAACCGAAAATAAATGTTCATATTATAACACTTACAGCTCTATTCGGAGAGTTTATGTGAATCAGCA